ACAATTAACTATCATAGAAAAAAACTAAAATGGTTTATTTGTCTTTGGTAACTTTTAGACAGTAACTTCAAATCTAATTTTATCCTATATAGATTTTCTTTAAAGTTTTATTCTTAGTTTTCTTTATTTTTCTATATAGACAGATGATAAAACAATCAACCAATTTAAACGATTCAGTGGATTGAAATAATTATCAAATGAATATATATTTCTATGTTTCATTATATCTTATAACTTCAGTTCAATGTTAAATGTGTTCAATTTGTGATAGTTTGACTTATCCAATTTATATTTAACTTTTAGACGGTTATTTGATGAAATTAGAAAAAGATAACGCTACATCACAATGTTAACTTTGTTCATAACTATGTGTCATACATATAAATAAATATTAAATTTATTGAAAAAAAATCCTATTTGCTCCATATGAACGAGGTACCTAATGATTATTTCTTTTAATCTATAGTTCTACGTTAGTATTTGAATAAGTGTAGTGATCAGATTAAGTTTGGTTGGTAACAGTTTCTGTCAATTGTCTTAAAGCATCCAACAGTAGATAAACTATATTGCTAAATTATTAACTGTTATAATGTGCAAAAAAAGATTGATAAAATCTTTCACAACCAATCATTTCACTTTGAAGTTTCGAATGCAAACACATGAACCAACATGTAAATATCAGATTGGTTGAAGAGATGGAAATCAGTTATTATTTTCATTTTTATTATTTGTCTTTTGGGTTCTTAGTGGAACATACGGCTTCAGTAGCACGTCATTATTCTACTACCTTCTCTGTAATCTTTTCAACCTGGCTCCACGAACGCCCAGAAGCTTTCATTTCTTTCTCATACCATCTCCTGCATGTCATCCTAGCCTCAGACGCACAACTTATCTTTCCTCACTTGGATTCCACTCAATGGCCTGGACTGGCGCGTGATATCCCCAATCGGTTCTCTTAGTGTATCTCCAATCCAACCTGTTTTGACTTTCTTCTGCGTATTTGTTGATCGATGGGTTCTTGCCTCATTGGTTCGTTACCAGCCAGCCACCAAGCCAGAGTTCCTCCTTGCTTATTCTAATTATTCCGGTCATCTGATCTCCACCTTCAGTGTCAATATCGAGTGATCACAGGCGGCAGATATTGATGATGTATGTCTGCAGTTGTTTGTTGAAATGATTTTCTTAACTCACCAAATCTCTCAACCATCACATAGAGGCACTGACTTAATTGACTGGATCTTGTTATTCATACTGAGTGCAGTAGATCTCCACACTGTTTTCAGATTAATGCAGTAAGGCCTGTCTTGTTGTCTTTCTGATCCTGGCTTTGAAATCCTCATCTGTGCCAGCAACGTCTGTAGATGAAACGATGCTGCTCTGCCTAGGTAGGTGACAGAGACAACCTCCATCAGAACTCTCCTGTTGATGGTGATTAGTGCTTGTTGTTGTTATTTGCAAAATACACAGTCTAGTGCGAAAAAACTTCACCATAGTTTCTTATTGAAGCCAAAATATTCAGACTACATAATGTTATCTGCTGGACCCAATAATTGGCGTTCAAATCACCTGAATCTGGCTAGTGAACGCTGCTAATCAATATGTCATGATTTCCATGTGAAAATATAATGAGGTTTCTCCCAAAGGATATGGTATTTGCAAACACTTGATTCAACTCGTTATAGGCTTACTTAATTCTGTGTTGTGTGTTGAATGAATAGTCTAAAAGTACTGATTAAAATAGTCAGATAAAGCTACATTCATCATTGATTTCACTTAATGTTCTGAAGACAACTAGTGTACCCCTTAAATAGTTTTCACTAAATGAATATAACCGAGATGTTGGTTATCCTGAAACCTTACATATATTTTCAAACGCTTCTACTTTGTTCCCTCAAAAATAAGAATTGTGGTAAAAGATAGGAGGGGTATTATAAGATTCAACTGTTTACAAATGTGGTACCTGGAATTTTTCAGTCTTTGTATAACTGTATCTACTGTTGGCTTTGTTATATATTTAATAAACTATGAGAAGGTAAAATAACGTGATTTTCACCGAATATATGGAATGTACTGTGTAGTTGTAAGTGTATTCAACGATTTCTAACTTCCAGGTTGGTATTCATCAAAGAGTGACATCAGTTGGAAAAAACATTAGGAATCTGGAAGCACTAGATAGTTGTTTCGTCCCAGTATAGCTTTCATCAAGTGCGTACTTTCATTATCTCTTCAGAGACCGATCTACTCAACGACAGCATTGGATAGCGGTCGCGCTATATAGTGAATTGACAGAAGAAGGAAATATAAGACATTAGATTTCCACCTAAAGGCCTTGGATTTGATCCCTGGCAGCGTCATGTGTGCCAACTGCTGAACAGTCCCCTACTAAGATCAAACAACTGTTTAGTCCTCACAAGTTTCAAATGTTTCTCCAATTGATGTCAACCCATGAAGCATACCAAATTGAAATCAATAAATAAATCTCTATTAACCTCTAAAATGAAATTTTCTAGCTTCTTTAAGAATCTAAGAAATCAATATCCCATATCGTACCACGTATCTTCTTCATAGTAGTCTGTTACCCTATATTTGATTGATATAATGATTCATATATACATACACACATATATATATGGGATACAATTCTTGACTTGATCAAATGACCACAAATATTTACATTTCATATATGCTAAACAAACTGATGAAAGTCACTTTAGAACTATTATCCCTTACAAATAGTATACACAGATGGTATTTATTTGATAAAACTACCAAATAAACAAATAAAAAGAAACATACAGACTTAAATGCATAAAAACGTCTACATTATTACATAAGATCATGAAAAGAGGAAGGATAAAATAAGTGAAACTATTTTGTATTATAATATATTAATCATTATGTATCTTGTTTAACTATATCAAAGTAGAATTTTAAATAGGTAAGTTAAGATAATCGAAGATAGGAGAAAAAGGGAGCATATTGAGTAAATAGATTGATGAATTTTTATTTATTTATTTATTGAGACAGTTAAACAAAACTGTGTGGTTTAAAACCTTTTAAAGATGGCTAAATTTTCTTCACTATTCATTCTAATTTTTCATGTTTACTGTCTCCAAATATTGAAGATGTTTTATTTCTCTTCCGGTGTTTATTTGACTAAAATTTATTCAATTTAAACTTCGATTTCTTTTTTTAACTGAAGAAATCTATGCAACTACATTGGCGACAATAAAAATAATGATTTATATTACCTAAAGCCTATTTGAAATATACACCAATATAGGAGAAGAGAAGTAAAACAAATATTAATTTGTTCAATTATTTTTTTTAATATTCTTTGATGTAATTATTGTTCAGTTATATTTTAGATTATTTTTTTTCTCTTATAGAAATCTTAGACAAACTGCCTTTTAACTTTGAACATATATATACAAGTATATGTAGTCCATTAAATAAAGTGAATGAATTTAAGAGATAGAATGAGAAAGTTATCTCATAATTAAGATTTAATGAAGTGAAATTATTACAGAAGTTCAATAAATCTCTTTTATCTAGTTAATATACATATATAACGATGACCATGGACTTTGTTCCATATATATATATATATATATATATATATATATATATATATATATATATATATATATATAAACATTTCTCTATCTACCATCTTATCATACTTATCATTTCAATCAGTGAAATAATAATTGTAAATTATTCTTTCAGAAAACAAAGGAAAAAGGATAGATCTATTAGAAGACAAAGTTTAAAAGACTCTCTGAAAAAAAAAGAAAATTAGTCTCTAGCAAGTTGTTTTACGCTTCAGAAGAATAAATTAATGAGTAAAGAATATTTGAAACTTTTTTTTTATATTAATGATAAAATGGAAACTAAAACAAAATTTAAGTGGTTTTAACATCAGGATATAATAGTGTCTGAGTGTAGACAAGTCGATGACAACGACCACAACATTCATAAATATGTGAAATAATGATTACTGTATATATTTCAACTAATTATCAATTTTTAGTAATGATGGGCAGTGGCTAGCAGTAGAATCCAGGATGCACATTTCGTCCTATTTGGGACTCGTCAGTTGGACGTACTTGCTTCCCAGTGAGTGTTGTCCCCATCGGGACTCGGACTCGGGAGCGATCGTTTCAAACACCAGCGCGTTATCCACTACACCATCGAGCCACAATAGCCACTTCTTGTGCAACGGGTATAGGTTTTAGTGTTATTGCTTGTATTACACCGTCGTTGATAGGACCGAATTGATCAGCCTCTGTTGGCATATGGGCTCCTATGCAGATGCCTTGATATGGTCTGTCTTTTAACTATGTTTAGTAATGAAGGCAACAACATCACTCACTGGGAAGCAGGTACATCCAGCTGACGAGTCCCAAATAGGACGAAATGCGCATCCTGGATTCCACTGCTAGCCACTGTCCATCATTACAAAAGACAGGCCATATCGAGGCATCCGCACAGGAGCCCATATGCCAACAGAGGCTGATCAATTCGGTCCTATCAACGACGGTGTAATACAAGCAATAACACTAAAAATTATCAATTCTTTATATTTTACTTTGAAGCCGTAAATAATCGTAAATTGATCACAGAATATCTATGTATAAAAAATTTTAATAATCATACAGCTCTACTCCCCTTCTTAATAAATTTGTGTATTATAGGAAAAGTATACCAAACAACAGAATTGATGGAATAAAAATACACAATTATATTCTTTAAACATGACCTTCTTATTTTAGAATCAGAAAAATATCGAAATTCATTTCTTAAATGTTCAATCTGAATAGTGCACTAATAGCAAACTGTTAAGTAAACATATACTAGTTCGAATATAGTATTATTTCTTTATTAACGCATGAAAACAGCCTTTCTATTGATATACCTTTGTTCAATGTACAACCTCTGTTGACTATAATTAAACACAAATTCACAGTAAAAATTCATAATGTACCCTTAGCAAACTACTACTCGTGACTTAGAAATACTCGTCGGAACGAAAGAGTAGTGGTAGTAGTAGTGGTAGTAGTAGTAGTAGTAGTAGTAGTAGTAGTAGTAGTAGTAGTAGTAGTAGTAGTAGTAGTAGTAGTAGTAGTAGTAGTAGTAGTAGTAGTAGTAGTAGTAGTAGTAGTAGTAGTAGTAGTAGTAGTAGTAGTAGTAGTAGTAGTAGTAGTAGTAGTAGTAGTAGTAGTAGTAGTAGTAGTAGTAGTAGTAGTAGTAGTAGTAGTAGTAGTAGTAGTAGTAGTAGTAGTAGTAGTAGTAGTAGTAGTAGTAGTAGTAGTAGACTTATCATATATTCGTAATATTTCCTTATAATTTCTAATTTGTTTAGTAATGTCTGGTAGTGACAATTAAGAGGCACATACCTTCAACTTTCTGACTTATCAGCTGGATGTAAATGGGCTCCAGTGAGAATTGAACCTAGCACCCACCGCTTCAAACACCAAAGAGTTATCCACTAATCTATAGGGGCTTGAAAACCACCTCTTGCGCAACGGCAGTATTTATTACTATTTTTACTGATATACAAATCAATTTCCGTATAATAAATAATCAAGCAATATTAAGGCATCTATATAGGAGCTCATATGCCAACAGAATTCGATCGATTTTATCTGGAATAATATCGGGAGATTATATGTATCAATAAATAATAACTTTAGAATAAGGGTTTTTATATGATACCGTTCTACTAGTATATGGGCTCCTGTACGGATGCCTCGATATAGAGACCCATCAATTCGGTCCAATCAATGACGGTATCATATAAAAACCCTTATACTAAAAAATATACCAGTCGCACAAGAAGTGCCTATTGCGGCTCGGTGGTGTAGTGGATAACGCGTTGGAGCTTCCTTTTTTCTTTCTTGTTAAAAATGGTTAATTAGAAGAGACAAATACCGAAATAATTATAATTCACACAGTAAGGATTAATTACGCTTAACACTGGAATGAAAACCATGAAGGCATTACTTCCTTTATTCAAATGTTTGTTATATCTTGCATAAACCAAGTAAAATAGAAAAAATTCAACAGCTAGAGACTTTCTTAAAAACTTCAAACCTGAAAATTCTTGTAATCAGCGGCAAGCAGAGTTAAGAATATATATTTCATTGGAAAATGCTCAAATTGTGGAGTGCATAAAAATATTTTTTGTCCAATGAAAGTTTTGTTATTATTACTTGTCCCTAGGGTTCCTAGTGGAACATATGGCTTCACTAGCACATCTCCACTCCACTCCACTAACTTCTATGAAATCTTCTCAACCTCGCTCCACCACAACCCACAACCTCTCATTTATTCCTCACACCACACCATCTCATCCATGTCACCCTCACCACGAATGACCAACTCGTCATTTCCCATCTGGGTTCCACTCGAGAGACTGGCCTGACACATGATATCCCCAATTGGCCTTCTCAGTGTATGCCCAATCCAATCCAATCCATCTCCACTTCCTTCTTTTACACACTCAATCTCTTGCTTAATCTTAATGTCAATGTCTTCGAAAGTCTGTCATTTCTGTTTCTGTATACTACATCTTGTTGAGATGGTACCACTTCCATGCTCCTGTCCACCCCAAGCAAAATATTTTTCTGCATCATCCCAGAGAGACTGAAGGATGCGCCGGAATTAAAACTACTACCAGAACAGGCTGGCTGGATTCACGAAGTACAAATCACGTGCAGACCAGATTGCAACGCTAGACTACGCAGCATCATAGAACACAGTATAGAATGGCAGTCAACTCTACCTCAAGTTCATCGACTTTGAAAAGACCCATGACAGCGTCGACTGAGAAGTTATTTGGTAGCTGTTGCTTCAACACTACGGTTTTAGTGCCATAAACCTTTATCAATCTCATTCAACAATTATATGAAGACGACACATGCCAAGTAATTCAAAATGGGGACATCAGTGATGCCTCCGAAGTGAAGACAGGAGTAAGACAAGGCTGCCTACTATCACCCATGATATTCCTGATTATGATCAACTGGACTGGATCATGCAACAAACAGTGAGGAGCTGTGAGAAGAGGGGATACACTGACTGGAACGGGGAAAAGAACCTAGAAAATTTGGATTTCACCAACCATGATGATTTATGTCTAGAGTCGTGTAGCATAAAGTCGAAGATCTACAGGTGAAAACTAACAAGTTGACAGAAGAGATGAGGTAGGGCAGCGAAGATGGGACTTCCTTCACGTCAACGTAGAGAAGACGGAGGTGGTGAAGATACTCAACCAACAACATCATCAGCAACAACAAGCACCAATCACCATCAATAGGAGAAACTCAAAGGAAGTAGCCTCCTTCACCAACACCCATCTAGGCAGCACTGTTTCAACTACAGGCAACACACGCACAGACGAGGATGTCAAAGCAAGCCAGCATAGGAAATACAGCAAGACAGGCCTTCATGCATTCACCTGAAACCAGTGTGGAGATCTCCTCCACTCCACTCCATTCAGCACAAAGTGTGAATAACATCCCCATTTTCAACACCAATTGAGTGAAGTAAGTCAGTGATTCTATGTGATGGTTGAGAGAGTTGGGGCGTTACGAAGGGCATTTCCAACAAACCACAGACATTCATGAACAAGTGCCTACACTGTCTCATTACTGAAGCTCAGATTGCCAGAATAGTGAGAATTAGCAAGGAGGAAGTCTGGTTGGCTGGCTGGCTGGCTGGCTCACAACGAACCAATGAGGCAAGAACCCATCACTCAGGGAATATGCACTGGAAGGAAGTGGAGATGGATTGGATAGGATTTGATTGGGCATACACTGAGAAGGCCGACTAGTGACATCACGTGTCAAGCCAGTCTCTCGAGTGGAACCCAGATGGGAAATGACGAGTTGGTCATTCGTGGTGAGGGTGAGATGAATGAGATGGTGTGGTGTGAGGAAGAAATGAGCGGTTGTGGGGTGGAACGAGGTTGAGAAGATTTGAGAGAAGGTAGTTGAGTGGAGTGGAGTGTACTGGAGACGTGCTAGTGAAGCCCTTTGTTTTATCAGGAACCCAAGGAATAAATATTAATAATGATAATAATAATGGATAGCTACATGATAGGGATCTAAACACCAGACGATGGTTTCGCTCGTTTTGAGCTCAGATCATGAGTGATGTACCCCCATCAGTTCCATCTCTTATAACCAAACTGTTTAGATCAGTTGAATTTATCTAGTTAATATTGATATCAGTAATATCTATACAGCTGAATGCAATTTTATGTATACGGTCACCTGAGATTTCCACACCTCATAGAATTTCATAAATCTTGCTCAATATTTATCATAATGAAAGTTTATTTTTTTAATAAGTAAAATTTCAGGACTAAAACCAACACACTAGAGAGATAAAGTATCGCAAAATATATTAAACTTAAGTGTTTATTCTTCCTGAAGATAGTCGATCATTTTCACATTGATTAACGGACAGAAAATTTATCAAATAAGCATCTTAGTATTTATGATTTTTTCACTTCATATACTGAGAGTAGATAGAAATCAGTGAAATTGTTATTAACGCTAAACGGTGGTACTGAAGTAAAAAGCCATACTTCCTTTCTTCTTACTTGAATGAAGCTTCAAGATGATAACCAATGGAAAAAGAGAAAAATTGAAAACCTTTAGTTTGATCTCCGAAAGGACTAAATGTGTTCTAATGTGTCACCAAACAATTAATTTGTTTTTCTTTAAATAAATTTCACTTCTTCATCAGACTTTTCTTTAAATATATCTTAGATCGGATAAATATCATTAGCGAATAATAATAATTTAAAAGACGTTCTATTTCTAAGAAACACTTTGGTATTTGAAGCGATCGGTTCCGGGTTCAAGTTTCGATGGGAAGAACTTCATTCACTGAGGTTCACGTATATCCAGATGACGAGTCCAAAATAAGAAGAAACGCCCATCCTAGATTTCTCTGCTAGTTACCAAGATGAAAACAACATCATGAATATCTGACAGTGTCTAGGTGTCTACATAAGAGTCTGTTTGTCAATAGAAGTCGAATGATTCCACTCTGTATAGCGACGGAAGATTACGTGTCAAACAACAACAATTTTAACCGTCTCTTTATTACGAGTTAGGAAATTGTTAATTTTCAGGATTTATTTTCATATACAAGCTGACAGAATCTTTGGCGAACAAAATTACTTAAATAATTTGGTTTGCATCATACCTTACTGACAGAAGTTGAAAATATGAACCATTTGATTCCAATCCAGTGGCTCAATGATAACGAGCTAGCCACGGAACCTGAAGGTCTTGGGCTCGACCCCTGGAGGACAAGGTCATGGGTGTGCACTGCTGAGGAGTCTATTACTAGGAGGAAATAGCTATCCAGTGCTCTCAGGTCTCAAATGTTTCTCCAAATGATATCAATCCATGATGAATACCAACTTGAAAAATAACTAAATCCCCACTAAACCTTTCTTTATACAAAAATGCATCCATCATGGTACTTCATTTTTCGCTAACACAATTCAGAAGACGAATGATATATTCTTACACCATTCGATTTGGTATTTACGCGGAAGATGAGCATACATTCTTGTAGAAGTCTGTAGGGTTACGTCATTTCAATTAGTGATTACAATTAATATGGCTTATAGAAAGAAAGATTAAACATAGAAAAAACCGGTCGAAAAGTTGTGGCATTCTATCACAAAGCCCCCACCCCCCTCCATTCCTCTTTGTTCACTTTATTGGTGTAAAACAACAAACAATAACTTTATTGATAATATCTTGTTATCACCTTTGTTGGTTAGATGCTTTTAAGTATGAAATCTTACTGACTGAATGTAATCAGATAAGAATATGATTAATATGATCTCTGTCAAACTATATGTCCTCAAATAAATGCATATATAATCTACACGGTGTACATAGTCACTTAAATGCGGTGAACAATGTCAAAAGGTAGTCGGAATATGAAAAGATAATATCAACAACTTTATTTCATAAGTATTACGTCTAAGTATCACTTCTGTTCTGTAGTAAAGTGATGTGATTACTAATTGTTGATCATTGGTAAATAATAGATAATAGATAAAACTGGCGTTTTATCACTAAGACTTATAACAGTGTGAAATACACTGTACACTGGTTTTTCTGCTCATTCTCTTCTCCCAATAGACTGGTCTGACTCACTGACTTAGTTAATGCACATTAGGAAACAGGGCACAATATTCGTTATCATTTGAAAGCTGAACTGGAGGTGTTACTATTTGTTGATATGCTTGTAATTCTCCACTGTTCTACTGGACTTCTATGGGATGGCTTGATATTGCCTGGTTATTTATTAAGATAATTTAGGACTTGGGGTGTT